ATCTTCCAAATTAAACTTGTGTTAATCTTAATTTCCTGCTCTTCATCTGTTCTTTCTCACGACATCCGGACTGGGAGAGGTTGAGGCCGCAAGGATATCAGTGATAAAATTATTAGTACCTCAACACCCCCGAGGAGCGGCAACGATGAAGACAGTTGAACCAGTGCCTATACTGTGATTCTCCAGATCACTTCATCGCAATCTGTCCTATCCGGCCAAACGAGAGGGTCTGTTGGCTATAAAGTGGCAACCGGCTGACCAACATATTAGCACCAAGACCCCTAGATTCACTTTGCCTGCTACCTTATTATTCAATATGGACACCATCAGTCTATCTGCTCTCATCGATTCAGGGTGCGAACAAAACCTAATTGACCAGTCCCTTGTTGAACTAGCACAAATAGAGGTAGAGCCTCACCCTGCGCCACACCAAGTAATAGCCCTTCGACGGAAAGACGCTTCAGCGTATTACCCATCGAACCAAACCATTGGAACTTGTCCTCTCAGGTAACCATAAGGAACATATCTCATTTTATGTTTTTTCCCATCTCCCAAAGCTCACTAGTTCTGGGTTTCCCTTGGTTGCAAACACATAACTCCCATCTCAACTGGTCTGACTGCTGCCTTGATTCATGGTCGACTAAATGTCTCTTCTCTTGTTTGCAGTCTGCAGTCTCTTCAAGTCCGTCTTTATGGGACGCTGAGGAAACTGAACATCCAGACCTAATCCTGATTCCTGAAGAGTACCATGGCTTAAAACAAGTCTTCAGTAAATCAAAAGCCTTGTATTTACCTTCCCACCATCCTTATGACTGCGCTATCGATCTTCTTCCTGGGGCGCCACTACTTACTAGCAGGCTGTATAACATCTCACGCCCTGAATGACAGTCATTGGAAAAATATATCACTGAGTCTCTAGCTGCTGGAATCATTCGCCCTTCATCATCTCCCGTAGGTGCTGGATTCTTCTACGTGGGGAAAAAAAGAACGGTTCACTGCGACTCTCCATCGACTATAGAGGGTTGAATCAAATTACAGTCAAAAATAAATATCCTCTTCCTCTTCTATCATCAGCCTTCGAACCAGTTCATGACTCAACCATTTTTACCAAACTAGATCTCCGCAATGCTTACCACCTAGTCTGCATCCGCCAGGAGATGAATGGAAGACTGCTATTAAAACTGCCTTGGGTCACTTTGAGTATCTTGTGATGCCCTTTGGTCTCAGCAACGCCCCCGCTGTATTCCAGGCGTTAGTAAATGACGTCCTCCGAGACTTCTTAAGCGTCTTTGTTTTTGTTTATCTGGACGACATCCTCATCTACTCCAAAAACCTTGCTGAACATTGTCATCATGTCTGTATGGTCCTCCAATGGCTGCTGGGAAATAGACTCTTTGTAAAAGCTGAAAAATGTGAATTTCACCAACCCTCTGTCACCTTTCTGGGGTTCATTTTAGAGGGTGGGCAGGTTCGCTCTGATTCAGAGAAAATCAAAGCTGTCCTTGACTGGCCATTTCCCAACTCCTGCAAACAGCTTCAGCGCTTTCTGGGTTTCGCAAACGTTTATCGGAGGTTCATCAGAAACTTCAGTCAGACTGCTGCCCCCCTAACCACTCTAACATCAACCTGGCTGTCGTCACGTGACATTCCACTGAAAGCTATGTCTAGGAAACTTTCTCCCAGGTTCATTGGGCCTTACGAAATCGCATCAGTGGTCAGTCCTACCTCCGTTCGATTCCGTCTTCCCCTCAGTCTCCGCATACATCCCACTTTCCATGTTTCTCAACTGAAACCTGTACTCACCAGCACTTTTTGCCCTCCAGCTGACCCCCCTCCACCAGGCGTTCCAGGGGCACCCCGTCAACTCAGTCCGTGGGATCGTGGACTCCCGTCGGCGGGATATGGTTTGGCAGTACCTCGTCGACTGGGAGCGCTACGGTCCAGAGGACCATACTTGGGTGCCCCGGTCATTTATTTGTGACCCTTCCTTGATTACTGATTATCATTCTTCTCTTCTGGGCCACCAGGCGGCGGGCGTTGAGTGGGGGTGATGTCAGGGTCTGAGAGATCCTGTCTTCTGTTTTTTGCCTGCTATTAACTGTGGTTTGCCACTAGATGCCACTTGAGCTCCTGGGGTGAGAGGGTGGCAGGTGTAGCTCATTACCATCATCAGGAGGAGTATATGAGGAGCAGGTTGCCAGCACTTCAGTGCCTGAGTGTTTGCCTATTCTGGTAACTCAACTGGTCGGAACTATATTGATGTCTTCCTAGAGATCATAGTTTCTTACCTCGCTGTCTTTGTTCCTTCCCAGGTAAACTTCCTAGTCCTGGTTCCTGGTTCCTGTTCCAGTCACTCACAAGTTCTGAAAACATTTAAGATCTCCAAGAATCACTTCCGGATCAAGCTCCAGCTGGCTGCCGCTCAAGCTCCTCATTTCTCCTCCAGCCTCAGGCAAAGCGAACCTTGCTCACCCTTCAACCTGTCTCATCACCGAGCTGCAACCACAGGCATCTAGATCTCACCAATCTGCTGTTTGGAAACAGCCCTGACCCAAACTTCCTCCGGTGTGCAAATAACCCACCTTGGATTACGGAAAGGATCACCTTCAGACAAGCTGTCTGTCGAACTCCCAGGCTGTGCTTCACTTCCCTGGCGGATCTTCACCTACAACCCTGTAAGCAAACCTGCTCTTCCTAATTACTAATATCACCCAGATCAATACAAACTTACCTGATCTCCCTTCTCTGTGCAGTGGCGTGCCTCAGTCCTGGGTCCAACACCATAACCCATTCCTGTGCAAAAATAAAGTTGGTAAAACTTTTTCTCTGCCTCCTGAGAGTTCATCTGAATGTGGGTCAAGTTTGTGAACAAAACAATGACAGTTCATACTGTACATAGTTGGTCTTCCTTATTCTTTCATTCTGCTTGGTAGTTCAGTTGATGTAAGTTGTTCTAGTATAGTAAAGAGTTTGTGGACTGAAATATGTTTGACTTTGAGTTTACTTCTTTTTGTTAATAAATTCTTGTTTTTGAAGAAATCGTGTGAATTTATTCCATGTGTGGAATAAATTGCTGTTCAGTAATGTCAGTTTTTGGTCTAAGGGCTCACCCCTTTCACTATTGTCCTAATACCACCGCCTTATTGGGCTGGTATTCAACAGACAACACTTAACAGGCCGAGTCATTATTTAATAAAATATCAAAATATTGATATTACATATTAAATAATATATTCGTAATAACAACAACACTAACTCAAATTCAAAGTAAAGACCTTTCAAATTCTTACGTGCCTTTTTATGGACGGATGCTGCTGTTTGTTGTGACTTCCACTAACCAAACTAGAGGGTTGTCAGAGTCACGTTCTAGTTGAGTTCAGTGGCATTTTACACAGGGAATACGATTTGTACCTTACAACTCTACAACCACATAACTTATTTCAGGTTTTTGGCTAATGCTGCTTTTCTGGTCAATAACTAATATGATCTCTTGATAAGATATTCACACTATTCCCTGTCCATTATTCCCTGTCCATTTATGATCCCAAGTTCTCACTTTATTAGTTTCAAATGGGTCACGGGTTTCCTTTTTATTTTAAAGAAGAAACATTATTAGACTTAATTTGTTTAAGATCATCAGCTTTTTTTAAATGGGGAAATATGATTGATTCAACTTACTCTTGTAGAATAGTTATGTGAATATTTTTTGATTGGATTTTCCTATGATTTTTGTGGTTTTAGATGTTTTGTTGGAGCATTTGACCAGGGTCAGCGTCTGTGAGGCGACTGTGGCTCAGTAGGAAGAGTAGTTGTCTTGCAATCAGAAGGTTGTGGGTTTGATTCCAGCATTGTCCAGTTCCACCAGGACAGCACATTAATACCTTGCCCTAATTACATTGCCATTGCCCAAAGGTTTGATGTGTCTGACTTCTGAGGATAGGCAGTTACTCTTGGCTGGACAGGTCCTTAACATACCAGCACAACTGTTATGTGTCAGGGAAAATGTTATCATGATGTTAAAGTAATCATAACCCCTGTGTGCATGCGATTAACAGGCTAACTTTCCAATTTTGTTAGAGGAAAAGTTTTACCAAGTTTTAACAAGAAGAAATCACATCCTGTAAACAACTATGTTATGAGTGTTTGAGCTCTGACTGCCAGAGCACCTTGATATTTTGTATTCAGCTGTTCTCACTTGCTTCAGGTTTCAATAGACTGCATAAGTGTTCTCATCCTTGTTTCTTATTTAAAGTTGATTTTTTTCCACAACAGGAGGAACAGGATGAGTAGTGTCAGAGCCCCACAAAGTTACCTCTAGCAAGCCACTGGCGTGAATGTCTCTGACAAAACCTTTAAAAACAGATTTCATGAGGGTGGCCTGAGGGCCCGACATCATCCAGTAGGCCCTGTGCTCACTGCCCGGCACCATGGGGCTCGATTGGCTTTTTTCAGAGACCACTGGAATTGGCAGGTTCAGCACTGGCGCCCTGTTCTCACAGATGAAAGCAGGTTCATCTGAATTGAAAGGGCCAGGAGAAGCTGCGGTGAACGTTATGCTGCCTGTAACATTGTTCAGCAAGATCAGTTTGGTGGTGGGTCAGTGTTGGTCAGGGGAGGCATAGCCATGGAGAGACGCACAGACCTGTACAGGATAAACGATGGACCCTGACTGCTGTTAGGTATGGCAGTGAAATCTCTAGATTTTCCTTCGCTGGTCCAGTGAGTCCTGGGTTCCCCCTGGTGCATGATAATACCTGGCCTCATGTGGCAAGAGTATACAGGCAGCTCCTGGAGGATGGAGGAATTGATACCATTGACTGGCCCCCACGCTCCCCTGACCTAAATCCATTAGAACATCTTTGGGACATCATGTTTAGATCAATGTGACGGCACCAGGTTGCTCCTCAGACTGTCCAGGAGCTCAGTGATGTCCTGATCAGGTTCTAAGAGGAGATACACCAGGACACCATCCATTATCTCATAAGGAACATGCCCCGACGTTGTCAGGCATGCATACAAGCACGTGGGGGCCATACCATTTTGAGTTTCTTAAATGATATTTCAGCAAATTGGGCATCGGTTTTTTATCTTAAATTTCTCTGCAACTTCGGATTAAGCTCTCTGTGGGTTGATAACACATTACCCATTCCATATCTGTATGAATATCCAGCATAATTTGTTTTTCCAACTGAGATCTGATTTGTTTTCAAAGTGTTCCTTTAAATTTTTGAGCAGTGTATATTTATACTTAATGTCTGTACGCTGTGAGCGCTTGAGACTGAAGTCAAATTCAATCTTAGCCAATAAAGCTGAATCTGATTGTGCTCTTATTCAGATGCATTAATGAACACAGACACAGCAAAACAAATAGTTGTGGGGAGTATTTAGCAAACTCATAAAGGGTTCATAATATACTCTAATTTATGCAGTAACTGAATTCTGAGAACAGTTTGTATGAATTTCATTTTACAGATGCAATACCCATGCATCTCAATAAATTACAGTATCTTTAAAAATTCAGTTCAAATTCAGCAATTCAGTTCAAAAGGTGAAACAATTCAGACTTTTATTTCTTCTAATGTTGGTTATTATGGTTTACAGCGAATAAAAACCCAAAATTCAGTTAGTCAGAAAATGTGAATTTTACATAAAACCAATAAAAATAATTTTCTATTCACAAATGTCAGCCTACTGAAGAGTAAGCCCTTGTACTGTTGAGTATATGCACTCAATACTTGTTCTGGACCTTTTTTTGCAGGAATTAGTGCATTAATGCATCATGGCATGGAGTCTCTGAGGCAGTGGCGATTGCTCTAAGACTGCAAGGGAAGCTCAGCTTCCCCTAAAATGTCAAAAAATAAGTGATCAAATATATACTGTTGTGTGTACATGTCATTGACTAAATATGCGCTACAACGCACTCAA